AAATTATCTCGTCGCAAATTATTTCGTCATTACGGCAAATCAACGGGGCTATCCCTCGGGTAGGTGAGAGCTGCTGGTCTGTACACACGACTAGCATCCCGCATGAGTGTAGCACCTGTGCTACTGCTAAACGCAGTACGTACGATACGAAACGCAGACGATGCATGCCACGACTACGGAATCCCTGCATTGCAATTTATGCTGATTTATATGCGCGACGGCTTGCACACAGTAGGAACCTACAACAGTACTCTCAACCCGCGGTTGAGTCTCTATCTTCGTCTCTATCTTTTTTCTTTTTCTCTCTTCCTTCCTCTTTCTTCTTCCTTCCCCCTTCTCTCTCTCTCTCTCTCTCTCTCTCTCTCTCTCTCTCTCTCTCTCTCTCTTTCTCTATATGGATATATCGATTTATTTATATTATATTTTTTAATTATATATCGCTCGTCTACACGATACTTTTGCGCGCGTCGCGAATTAATGAGATTTTTGTGAAAACTAATACTGGCCATTAACGAATTGTTGTCGAACTTCGTATTTTTACCATTTACCTTTTTTATGCGAAACATTAAATAACGCTGGTATTTTTATCGAATTTGTTTTTCTCTCCTTTTACATATTGAAGTATGCATTTCATGAAAAACAATCTTGCCTGAGCTCTCATGGAAAATATCTCTCACGTGAAAAAAGTTTTATAAATATCGATGGTATCGTATTTTTTATTAACTTCATTTTGTATGTGCTGTTTTTTTCACCGGTTTCCTTACAGGGGGGAAGTATTTTTCACTCAATTCTCTTCTGCGCTAAAAGCGAGGAAGAACTCGTGCCGTCAAATAATCCTTGATAAAGATGAAGTTATCACATACGCTTTTACGCGGTTCCAACAATAAATGATGAAAATAGTTGGGTCCGTTCGATTCTCTTTACGTGTTCTATTAGAAACAGATATCTGTTTACACGATCCCTTCTTCGTTTCCGCGTGCGCTTATTCAAACGTGTCTATATCAACGCCGACCGTTTCTCGACCGTCATTTCTACGTCATCTACTTAGTTGGCACGATCCTCTGTTTCCCGTGAAACGTTTGGACCAGGTCGCCCGGTACATAACGACAAAGGACGACGTTCCTCACTGAATGCTAATTGACACTCAACCACAATGCGACCCATACTAAATTCTGTCCCAAAATTTCGTCTACGTCGTGCTGCTAAGCATTACTATTAGCTCAATATTGCGTAGTATTAGTCTTGCTGCAAACTTGTCGAATTAATATTTTCTCTGAATACGAATTAGTAACGAAAAATATAATTATAAAGATCACAACGTTTTAAAATATGAAATTTTATTCCGAGTTTTGTATGTTTGAAACAAGATGTAAAATTTTATAAATAGAAATTTAATTATTATAACAATTAAAGAACAAAGCAGAAAACGTGGTATCATTTTGCATTGAAATTTCCATTATTAAATTGGACAGGTTATTATTCCATTACCGTATTAACTAAGTTACCGTATTAAATTTTAAATGTCAAAAAAGAGTAACAATTAATAGCTTAATCTTATTTATAATGTGAAATTATTTGTCTTTTTGCGATATATAATTTTCACATACAGCGAGATGGCCAGAATTATCAGCCGTTAATTTAGTAATTAATATGTCATTATTAATTATTACATCGTATTACTAACTTATGCTAACGCACAGTCAATCCAAAATAAAATAAACCATCATTTGATATACTATCTATTTGATAGTAAATAAATTTCAATTTACTTTGTATCAATTTAACTTTGGATAAACGTGAAATTAAATGGACCAAACATGCGATCACGAACGTCATTGTCATTGATTTATTTCCTCGCGATATTTGCAACATCAGCTGAAGTTTGCTTAAAAACTCCATCGTCCGTTGCAGTCACCGCAGAGTCCCGTAACTTTGCAAATTCACCCTAGCTTTGACGAACTCTCTCTCTCTCCTCTTTTCTCTCTTTCCTCTCATACGTGTCTTCCGAGTCATCAAACCTCCGTCAAACTTGATATTTACTTCTTGTCCCTTCGTCAACTACCTTTATCTATGCTTTCCGAATTCTTAAACCTTATATACAGCTCTTTTCCCTCACAATGATACTTTGACAGCGGTGATAAAATAGATATGCTCGTCTTTCTTTTCATTTGCACGTAAGAGTTAACAGACTTTTTTATGACAGGCGAATTTTATAGAGTGAAATAAAAAACGTGCTTCGAAGCCTAAGGGAAATGATAATATAATAATTGAATTTCTGACTTGTCTTACCTCGGAATGTCACTGATGTTCGCAGGTGAGAGAAAGTACCTTCGTTAATCGGAAACTTGTCCCATTCATATTTCTCCCTCTTTTCATATTGATATAGATAACCGGGATATAAATATGTGTGATAAAAATAAGTATAGTAATATAAGTATTCTTACGACGAAACGGAAGCGGTAAACGACGAGATAAACATATTTTTTCCTTGTTACATAATATGTATATTTTTTGCGCCAAGTATGTATACAATATAAAAAATTATGACTGCCTCTCGAAGCAAAGAACGCTACTTAAGATCGATTTATCCGATAATTTACCTTTCCGTAAAGAATTATTATTTGTTACAGAGAAGATTTCTTTAACTTTTTAAAGTTTTAAATATTCTTGTAATTAGATATTTTACATTAAATTTTCTTTGGAAAAGCATTGATATCAAGTTCATTACGGAATTATGAAGAATGGCTTATATCCATAATATTCTTTGCAAACGTCATTTCCATCTGAATAATTAATACTTTTACGAACAATAATGCAGAACAGAATATTGGAAAGAGGGAAAAATATCAGAAAAAAGGAAGTAACGTAATATTAGATTGCGTTTTTCCTTTGTTATATCATTCTTTATTATTACATTACAATCTTTTCTCTTTACAAAAACTGTAATATTTCATCCTCCAATGATGTAACATCATTATAAGTACACACAGTTCGGTATTTAGGTTTGATCTCTCGTGTGAATTACGCTAATTTTCGAATTTTTTCATAGATCCAAGCGAGAGTTTATCTTTATTCTGTTGTAATTAGTACAAGATCTTTATTCTTAAGTTTTGTTCATAAACGGCAGCCGCAATGTTAAGTATAAGTATGAATCAGGAATCTCGAAAGAGTTGCAAAATGTCGTCTTTTCTGATTTTAATCATTTTTTTTTTGATGAGCGAAAACAATATTATTATTTGAGAAGTATGATTGAATAATATATATATTTTATTATATATATTATTTTTATAATTTTAAAAAATTAATTATTTTACATTTATATTATTAATATAAAAATATGTAAAATAATCAATTTTTATTTTTTTATAAATGTTGTAAAAGTTATAGTTAAATTTGCTTTAAACTGATACAGATTTTTTTACGGAAATTCTTTCGAAAAATATTAATCTAATCATTTTATTTGTTTCTTAAATTCGACAATTAATAATTATCGGTTATTCATTTCAGTGACTTGTGTATCTTGATTAATAACGGTGGCTCTTTTATATTCAACCACGACGTGTTTGCGTAGTATTATCTTTCGATAAATGAATTGCGACGACGTCTTAGACACGGCGTAGTTCCCTTAAGCCGAGAGCACAAATTCTGAAAAATCGACCTTTTTACACGCACTCCCTTTGCCGTCGAATATATATATATATATATATCATCGCTAAATCCGATAAGCCTCCGCGTGCCGGCGAATCTCATTATCTTTTAAGCCTAAAAGAGAGAAGGCACTAAGTACGTATATTGGTAGAATATAATCGCGAGATGTGACTCAGTCGCGACGTGTTATTTATGGGAGAACGCGAACATTATCTTTTAAGCCTAAAAGAGAGAAGGCACTAAGTACGTATATTGGTAGAATATAATCGCGAGATGACTCAGTCGCGACGTGTTATTTATGGGAGAACGCGAGATCGCTTTCGAGAAGTCAATTGCCGCCCCATTCTAAGAATCGCTTATTGTTTCACGATTATTGATTTTCGTTTCGCACAGGGGGAAAATCGTTTCGTACAAAGGAAGCCGGATTCTTATTAGACGCCGAATCGTCTTTTCTCGTAAATATACGATTTCCCATTCCATTTTATTTATTCCCAGCCGTACACATAACCGTTATTGCGGCAATAAATTTTGGTTTATTCATACATGAGCATTACTTTACATAATTTTCTTCGATCGAATTCAGCACATGCTCGCGGATACGTATATTTCCCTTCCCTCGGCGAAGGAGGAGAGTATTTTCTCCTTGGACGTAAACAAATGTGTCAAGTATGTATCTTTTATCATTCTCATCGCCTTTGTTTTCTCCGTCACGCGACGGCGCTAAATTAACATCTAATTATTAAGGCATCGGTAAAAAGAAGCCATCGACGATTTATTACATCCCCCCGTACTGGAAATTTTGCCTCACGGATGAATTCGTTAGATGTTATACCGGGTATATCCGAATGAGAAAGGAATTTCTCTCTTTCTCTTTCTCCGCGAGGGAATAGAGATGAACATCTGAATTTTTCAGATAAGAGAGAAGAAATGAAGAAACGCGTGAGAACGTCACGCGTGCCCGGAGCGAATACTATTATTCCGAGAGAAATACTTATATATTTTTCATATTATATCGTTAGAGCGCCACCGCCACGGCACTGTCAAAATTACGACAACGGAGAAATGCTTTTATGCCATGCCATTCCATAGCTTAGAACACCTGTCACCATTTGTACGTCTTGTTACACGAATTACGTCCCGCAAACCGATCGATTTGGTGCTACCTATGTAATCTTAGTCGGATACGAAGGACGTAGATCAATAACATTAATTACGCTAATTGCATCTATTGAGATTGCGTTGTGCCGACTTTCGTTCAATAGACTAAAACAACTTAGGCTACCAATAAACTATTGAATTCTTTAATAAAGTAATGGTATCGAAAAGACTCTTTTTGTTCATTCGATTGAATCTTTTTTTTTTTAATCCGGGAGAAAGATAGTCAAATTTACCAGCTCTCATCACGAAATATGATAATTTCGTCTAATGTGCGTGCGTATGTATGTGTATGTACATATACGCGCGAGAAATATTATCACCTGAGAAAACGCTACGGAAAAAAGTTGACGCATACGAATGACGACGGGGCGCAGAAATGGTAAAGTTGATTACGTCGCCTGCCATTATGGATAATGCCTCGTTTCGCCGTCTAAAAAGATATATCGTTACGTAGATGCGCAAAGTACGATACCTAACGAAGTAACGCGACCGCCAAAAGAAGCAGTACGTACTATCTCCATAAAGAAGCACTTTACTCTATTTAGCTGTAAATCTTTTTTACAAGATTGGGGGAGGAGAGAAGAAGCGATAAATATGAATAAGAATGATAGATATAAAAATGGAGAGAGAAAGAGATGAAATTGGCGAGAATTGTTCTGGTACAAATCACATGAAATATTTAGCAAAATTTGTAAATACAAATTTCACATTCGTGAAGAATTTTTGATATTATTACCGTAATCTACTCGTACTTTCGTTTTTGTGTATCTGTAAATGCATGAATGGAGGATGAATGGGGGAAACTATCGTGACAATTCGATAGGATCATTCAAACCCCACGTATCACTAGTTAGAGAAATTAATTTAAGACAGATCCGACGCAAAGACTGGAACAGAAGTAAAATTCCGAATTTCGGTTTAAAGTAAAGTCTTCGTTAAAAATAAATACTCGACTCGTATGTTTTCGTCGCAGGACGGATCAGCTGTAAACACGGCGGATGAGCCGCGTTAACACACTCCGCTAGAGTAAATCTGCTTCTTCTCTACTGGTGCATTCATCTTCTTGAATGTCTAGCTATCGCTAATGATATTTCTTAATGTTTCGTCGATTCTTCCGGCGATAGCGCCGGCGACCGTTCGAGAATTCCGCTATGCGGACTCACGCTTTCTTCCGCTTTCCGCTCGCTCGACTGAATTATCTCCCGTCTCCGAATGGAACACGATGTACCATCAACGAGGGAATCGCTCGTGATGGAAGGAAAAAGCAATAATCTAACCCCTCTACTGTATGGAGGTTTCCTGGATAGTGTGCAAGTGTGCGTAGAGGCCACCGGCCAACATCAGATCGTCGTGGGTGCCCATTTCGGCCACGGTGCCCCGGTCCAGCACGCAGATCACGTCGGCGTTTCTTATGGTGGCCAGACGGTGGGCGATGGTGATGCACGTTCTGCCCTGCATGGCTTTGTCCAGGGCCGCTTGTACGACCTGCGCGCAGAAAATGTCGGATAAATGCTACAGCATGCTTCTCGGGGGCACGTCGTAAGCGCGCGACGACAACGGCGGAAATGAAAACGTAAACGACGATCGTTAAGTCGGTTATTACCGGTCTTCGCTTTATACATCTTAATCATCGAGGTTCTTATACGCCTTACGGTATTATATACGCGAGGAATATTACGAAATGTAGTTTTCGCTCGCGGAAAATTGTTTGAATAACTGCTACTTAAAGTCTTCTGTTTTAGTACAGTTTTACGTGAATTGGCATTTTTCAAGAGATACTGTATGAGCTTCAAGATTAATTAATATCCTCATACACAATTTTTTTACATCTAATTTCATGTCAAAAAATTACGAACTGTTTATGCCGTTTATTTTCAAAACAGCATGTGATATAAATTTTAACTTAAACGTACTGTACCATACATTGCATATGCATGATGCTGATTCGTTACACGAAGCGAAACGTCATACGAATGCCACGCAGTAGTGAAATAGTCAAAAACAATTAACATTAATAATATAACATCGCGCGCGCGCGTGTCCCTTGTGTTTCCGGATGATGTACATTATTTCTCTCAGTACATCTTCCAAAATTAATTTCGTAAACATAAAGCAATTAATATAGAGCGGTCGTGTTAATGCGAAACGCAGCTGAAATCAGGGAAGCTAATCGAACATAAGCACTTTTCCGTTTTGGTTTCACGGATTGGCAACGCACGAAAAGAGGGATGGCGCACACGTGTATTATGTTCCGAGGGTGGGTCCAGCGCGTAACAATGTTGCCGTGAAATTCATTTTGCCGCGACGAGCCGTTTCCCGACCGGAGAAACGTAACAACCGCTTGCTCGTAAAACCGGGAATTTCCGATTGTTAGCGCCGATAATACCGTAAATGACGTTGCAGCCGGTAATTTCGACAGACTGACAGAGACGAGGGGAAATATGGAGAAAAAAGAAAAAAAATATTTATCCGGCATGTTGTCGATTGTCGCGGTCTTTTTCTTTTACGGAATCGCAAAACGGATGTAAGAAAATGTGATTATGCAATTTGCACGCGAGTATCATCAGGTTTTAATCATCAGTATACATAACTGTATAATATACGCTATCTCAGGCATTCTTTCGCTGATTCGCTCTTTCTCCGATATTTTTTATTAGAATCCATCGATTATTATTAATATTCATCGCGCCGGGCCGTGCGATAGTTTAGATTTTTAGATCATAGAGAAATCGTTCGCGATCCGCATAGTCGATAGTCAAGCGTACCCGATATCGTAAATACTCAGATATTTATTATCCAGCACCGCCGACTATCGCGCCCATTATTGCTTATCGGGAATAGTTCCGTTTGCAACATAGTTTCGAGATATTTATACGGTACACGTTTATTTCAATAGTTTGTTCTTCTTTGTTAAAAATGTAAAGCAATTTATTTCGATTTTCCTATTTTCGACACAAAATAGGAAAATCAATAAACTATCAATAACTTATTTATTTTATTTCATTATTTTCATATTCTTATTTTGTCATTAATCAAAAATACTTTTTTGGAGGTTTTAGGATTAATATTTATAGCTGCGTTGAAGCAACTTACGAAGAAAATTGAAACTTTTCTCTTCGCATTAAAAAAGACTGTTTTATTTGTACTTTCCTTTCGTGGTTCTTTTTTTCTTTACCGTCCAAAGCGCAAATATACATTTGCTTCATATAAAGAAAAGAAAAGTGCAGCTAAAACAAACAGACCTAAGAACTCGTTGCTGACTCGTTGCTCAACAGAACTCAGGAGCCGTAATAAAAGAAGAACAAGTTCGTCCGCGCGTGCAAGCATATCTTCCCTTGCTTTCGCCAATTAAAGCAGACGTAAACTCGCGCACGGTGAGAACGCAACAGACGGTGGGCGATGGTGATGCACGTTCTGCCCTGCATGGCTTTGTCCAGGGCCGCTTGTACGACCTGCGCGCAGAAAATGTCGGATAAATGCTACAGCATGCTTCTCGGGGGCACGTCGTAAGCGCGCGACGACAACGGCGGAAATGAAAACGTAAACGACGATCGTTAAGTCGGTTATTACCGGTCTTCGCTTTATACATCTTAATCATCGAGGTTCTTATACGCCTTACGGTATTATATACGCGAGGAATATTACGAAATGTAGTTTTCGCTCGCGGAAAATTGTTTGAATAACTGCTACTTAAAGTCTTCTGTTTTAGTACAGTTTTACGTGAATTGGCATTTTTCAAGAGATACTGTATGAGCTTCAAGATTAATTAATATCCTCATACACAATTTTTTTACATCTAATTTCATGTCAAAAAATTACGAACTGTTTATGCCGTTTATTTTCAAAACAGCATGTGATATAAATTTTAACTTAAACGTACTGTACCATACATTGCATATGCATGATGCTGATTCGTTACACGAAGCGAAACGTCATACGAATGCCACGCAGTAGTGAAATAGTCAAAAACAATTAACATTAATAATATAACATCGCGCGCGCGCGTGTCCCTTGTGTTTCCGGATGATGTACATTATTTCTCTCAGTACATCTTCCAAAATTAATTTCGTAAACATAAAGCAATTAATATAGAGCGGTCGTGTTAATGCGAAACGCAGCTGAAATCAGGGAAGCTAATCGAACATAAGCACTTTTCCGTTTTGGTTTCACGGATTGGCAACGCACGAAAAGAGGGATGGCGCACACGTGTATTATGTTCCGAGGGTGGGTCCAGCGCGTAACAATGTTGCCGTGAAATTCATTTTGCCGCGACGAGCCGTTTCCCGACCGGAGAAACGTAACAACCGCTTGCTCGTAAAACCGGGAATTTCCGATTGTTAGCGCCGATAATACCGTAAATGACGTTGCAGCCGGTAATTTCGACAGACTGACAGAGACGAGGGGAAATATGGAGAAAAAAGAAAAAAAATATTTATCCGGCATGTTGTCGATTGTCGCGGTCTTTTTCTTTTACGGAATCGCAAAACGGATGTAAGAAAATGTGATTATGCAATTTGCACGCGAGTATCATCAGGTTTTAATCATCAGTATACATAACTGTATAATATACGCTATCTCAGGCATTCTTTCGCTGATTCGCTCTTTCTCCGATATTTTTTATTAGAATCCATCGATTATTATTAATATTCATCGCGCCGGGCCGTGCGATAGTTTAGATTTTTAGATCATAGAGAAATCGTTCGCGGTCCGCATAGTCGATAGTCAAGCGTACCCGATATCGTAAATACTCAGATATTTATTATCCAGCACCGCCGACTATCGCGCCCATTATTGCTTATCGGGAATAGTTCCGTTTGCAACATAGTTTCGAGATATTTATACGGTACACGTTTATTTCAATAGTTTGTTCTTCTTTGTTAAAAATGTAAAGCAATTTATTTCGATTTTCCTATTTTCGACACAAAATAGGAAAATCAATAAACTATCAATAACTTATTTATTTTATTTCATTATTTTCATATTCTTATTTTGTCATTAATCAAAAATACTTTTTTGGAGGTTTTAGGATTAATATTTATAGCTGCGTTGAAGCAACTTACGAAGAAAATTGAAACTTTTCTCTTCGCATTAAAAAAGACTGTTTTATTTGTACTTTCCTTTCGTGGTTCTTTTTTTCTTTACCGTCCAAAGCGCAAATATACATTTGCTTCATATAAAGAAAAGAAAAGTGCAGCTAAAACAAACAGACCTAAGAACTCGTTGCTGACTCGTTGCTCAACAGAACTCAGGAGCCGTAATAAAAGAAGAACAAGTTCGTCCGCGCGTGCAAGCATATCTTCCCTTGCTTTCGCCAATTAAAGCAGACGTAAACTCGCACGGTGAGAACGCAACAGACTTTCTTAACGACTACAGCAAAGGCATTACGAAATGTACGCCGGCAGAATACGGGTAAAATCTGCGAATGTCCGTGGGAGTCGCTTTCGCTTTCGACGACCGTTAACTTGATTATCTGTCACCGATTGACACCCTCGCGAAAACAATAATATTTTCTATGTGTTCTTCAAAAGATTTTTAGTCGAATCTAATCTCTTGTCGCGTCGATCTTCACTTTCACTAGTGGGCCGAAATATAATTCCGAGGATTGTGATATATATTCTATTAATATTAATAGAGGAAGCGAGAGACGAAACACGTTTTATTTCGGACAGAAATTGTTCTGCATCGCGAATCTCATAAAGCACTTTATGTGATTAATATAAATAACTTTTTGCAAATATTTACGCAACAATCTACAGATACATTTAATTAAAAAATGAGCGCCTGCATCGTTTCTCTTTTTTACGATATATTGCTGAGAACGGAAAATCGTTATTTGAGGCTAATACTTATTTAATAATTGATATCGTGGAGGAAAATAAAGGAAAAATTGTCCGCAGAATTATTTACGAGTTCAAGAGAATATCGTGGTCGTTCTTACCTGCTCACTTTGAGTATCGAGGGCTGAAGTTGCTTCATCTAATAGCAAAATTCGAGGATTTCTTAGTAGTGCACGTGCTATCGCTATTCTTTGTTTCTGCCCGCCACTAAGTTGAGTACCTTTCGTTCCCAATCTCGTGTCGTAACCCTGAACAAGCAAAAATAATAGAATTCAGTCATATACAAGAAACAATTGCAATATATTGTATATTAATATACTATCTACAGTTTATCCTCAAATTTTTTTTCAATTAATTTTTGAAACTGGCTGATTATAATTCTAATCCATATTCATATTTAATGTAAAATTTCTTGATTTCATTTCATCTCTTTATCTCTTGATTTTAATTTAATATTTATGCGGTATTTTATGTTACATATATTTCACATAAAAAAAAATATTCCATATAAATATTAAGTTTAATATATTAAAATAGCATAAAAAAAAGCTAAGGGTTCGTATTTTTTTCTTAATTATTTTTATTTCTTAATTATATCTTCTACATAAATGCGTAATGAATATTATAAAAATGATATTGATACTAACCAACGGTAGCGAAGTCACGAAACTGTGGATGTTGGACATCTTGGCGGCCTCGATGATCTCATCCATAGTCGCCTGTCGACTATTATCGCCATAGGCAATATTCTCCGCTATCGTTCTATCGAAGAGCACCGGTTCCTGTCCCACGACGCCTAGCTGCGACCTGAGCGTGGTCAGCGAGACCGACGCGATGTCACGCCGGTCTAGCGTCACATTGCCGGCGAGCGGATCGTAGAGCCGCTGCAACAACTGAATGCAAGTGGACTTTCCGCAACCACTCTGACCCACGAGAGCCACCATCTGTCCCGACTTTACAATTAAATTCAGTCCTTTGAGCACCGATATCTCTGGTCGCGTCGGATAATGAAAGTCGACTTTCGAGAATTGAATGAAACCGTCTGCCTTCTGTAAAGCAAAAACACAAAGCGATCCATTAGTTAGTCGGAGGACTTCGCGCGTTTAATCTTGTGTTTTATTCGCTGCTTGTCTCTCTTTAACGTCCGTAAGTTTTATATATAAAAAATACGAAAAATAGAGAAAAAGTGAAAGAGT